AGATAGTTTTGAGATGCTAAAGAAGATTTTGACAGAAGCTCCAATATTACTTCAACCCGAGTCAGGCAAGAACTTCGTTGTTTATAGTGATTCGTCTCATAATGGCTTGGAATGTGTGTTAATACAAGAAGGTAAGGTGTTGGCCTATGCTTCGAGGCAATTAAAGTCGCATGAGAAGAATTATTCGATGCACGATCTGGAGATGGCTGCAGTAGTGTTTGCTCTTAAGATCTGGCATCACTACTTGTATGGTGAAAGATGCTACTTGTATATGGATCATAAGAGTTTGAAGTATTTGATGACTCAGAAGGAATTGAATTTAAGACAGAGGACATAGGTGGAATTTTTAAAAGATTACGATGTAGTGATTGATTTTCATCCGGGAAAAGCAAATGTGGTATCGGATGCCTTAAGTCGAAAGACGTTTGTAGCCTTGTGAGCTCTAGATGTCAAATTATCGCTAAGTGGAGATGGTATAATATGTGCATAAATGACTCCCAAATCATCATGGCTAGATCGAATTAAAGAATTGCAAGCTAGAGATGAAAAGTGTTTAAAGAGGTTGCAACAAATAAAGAATGGAGAGTTTACGGATTATGAGATGAAAGCATATGGGAAACTATATTATCAAGGGAGGCTAGTGATTCCAGATGATGATGAGTTAAAGAATGATCTATTAATGAAAGCTCACTGTAGTCCATTGACGATGCACCCAGGAGGAAACAAAATGTATATAAACATCAAGAGTCGTTATTGGTGGCCTGGAATGAAGAGAAACATTATGGAATTCGTATCCAAGTGTTTGACTTGTCAGTAAGTCAAAGTTGAGCATCAGGTTCCGTTAGGACTGCCTGATCAAACTATCCAAATCCTAGAGGATATGTTGAGAGCTTGTGTTATTGAATTCAAGGGATCGTGGGAAAAGTACTTTCCACTTGCCGAATTTGCGTACAATAATAGTTATTAGTCAAGCATCAAAAGGGCTCCCTATGAAGCTCTTTATGAAAGGAGATGTCATACGCCCTTGAATTGGTTCGAGCTTAAAGATAAAGAAGTCATTGGTCCTAAGTTAATTCAGGAAGTGGAAGAAAAGGTGCAAGTAATTCAGAATAATCTCAATGCAGCAGCTTATAGACAGAAATCATATGTGGATTTAAAGAGGAAGGAGATAGAATATCAAGTTGGAGATAAAGTGTTTTTAAAAGTATATCCTTGGAAGAAGGTTTTGATGTTTAGACGTAAGGGAAAGCTTAGTATCAGATTTATTGGACCCTATGAGATTGTTAAGAGAGTGGGACCAGTCGCATATCAGTTAGCTTTGCCACCTGAAATGGAAAAGATTCACGATGTCTTCCATGTCCCAATGCTTCAGAAGTATCGATATGATCCCTCCTATATCGTGACTCCAAAAGAGATCGAGGTTCAACCGAATTTGACTTATGAGGAAGAACCGGTCCAAATCTTAACTCATGAGGTTAAGCAACTAAAGAACAAGACTATTCCATTGGTCAAAGTCTTGTGAAGGAAGCAACGTGGGAACGTGAAGAGGACATGAGGAATCAATACCCCCATCTATTTGGCCATTGAAAATTCGAGGATGAATTTTCTTAAGGGGAAAATTTGTAACATTCTCAATATTGGGTTAGTGACTAAATTCTTAAACTTTAGAATTTGATGACTAAAGTAGAATAATTAAATAGTTTAGGAGCTTATATTGTAAATTTGTTATAGGGTTGAATTGTAAGGAATATGAAATTAAAGGACAAAATGGTCATTGGTAAGTAAATAATTAAATTTGGTTATGTATATATATAGCCACGTGGCATGAGGGGGAAAGTAAACAAAAGGTTCCAGAGTTCTCTTCTCCTCTTCGTTCTATATACATGAAGGCTTAAAACAAAGGTGAGTTTTCTTGTTAGTTAATTTCTTGTTGAATTTAAGGTTGTTTTATTATCATTAGATGATAATTAAGCTTAAGGAAAGCTTAATTTGTCTTAAAACAACAAGATAAAAGGTATATGAAGGATTAAATAAATGAAGTGAATAAGTGAAATCTTGGTAGAAAGATAGTAATTAGATTTCCAGACCAAATTTGACTTGTCATTAACCTAATTAAGGAGTATGAAGTGTTAGAATTGGATTTAAAACATGTTGAAATTTGAGTATGATTCTTGAATGCTATGTAAAAGATTGGATTTTAAAGTTAAAGAGGTATTGAATGAGTATTAATGTGTTTAAGCATGTGTATGTAAGTTAGGAATATTAAAGGAGATGATATATGAAGCAATTTAGCTGAAATGAAGTAATTTTCGAATTGAAAATGTGACTTCTGGGCAAGGGGTATCGGTACCCATTCAACAGGTACCAATACTTCAAGGGTAAAATTTAGGAAGGAATTCAAGGGGTATTGCTACCTTGAAGAACAGTATCGATACCCAGGGGTACCCATTCAACAGGTACCAATACTTCAAGGGTAAAGTTTATGAATTTTCGTATGGGTATTGTGTGTGAAAATTAAGAAATTCATAATAAGTTTATGAGTTTCTGTAGTGGTAGTGGGTGTGCAACCCACGTAAATTATAATAAGTTTGTGAATTATTGTATTGGCACTACGTGTGCAAACTTTAGAGTTTATAATGAATTGAAATAGTTAATTTATATTATGAATAATTATTAGATTAGAAACAGTTCTAGAATAAAAGACTAAATGTCTAATTGTGCATTTGGCAAAAAGGTGCATATAATACAAGTTAAAAGAAAATTTAAATGCCTTTAAGATAAAATACTAAATGTCTAATGGTTCATTTTGGCATAAAGGTGCCACTAATACAAGTTAGATGAATAACAATGTATAATTAGCATAACAGTATGCCATGAATGAAAATGTATAACAGTGTATAATTGGCATGAAAGGATGTCACAAATAAAACTACATAGCAGTATATGGACGGTATATAAGGTGTCGCTCATTATAATTATAAAAGATAAAGGACCATTTGGCACTTTGGTACCATATATGTACATTACTTTCTGATTTAACGTATATAGGGAAAAAAAGAATAATCAGGAAAAATATACAGAAGGATATGTATGTTGGGACTAATAAGAATAACTTCGACGAATGTATGAAAGAAATATGGTTGAACTGAGAAAGATTTATCTGATCCATATGGAATATGCAATTTAATTCATCATTTAATAGTCATGAGATATGTGTATATAAATTTCAGTTTCGTTACAATATTATGTCTCACTAAGTAAATACTTAACGTGTGTTGATTTCACACGTAGGTAACAACAAAGACTAGTCGGGTACTGGGAGCAGGAGTAGCTATCATCAATCTAAGGTTGTCTCTCATCAGTAACAGTAGGACAATCAAGTTATTTTGAAAAATTACTGGCATGTAATCAAATTTAAGGAAAATTTTCTCTAGAATGTATTTAAAGTGATAACTTTGATAATAGGTTTCAACGACTATTTTAGTGTTGTACTAAAAATGCTTTTGGTTTCAAATTTCAAACAAAATTTTATGGGTTTTCAAATGACAAAATGTTTTAAAAATTGATGTGACATCTGTATCTCGTGTACGGAAAGGTATACAGGAGATGGGTGCTACAATTTTTATTTCATGTTGATATATTAAAGTCAGATGTTTTATTTTAAATATATGCAAGGAATTTCATGTTTATTTGTTTTACCTTAGTAACTTTGATTGGTATTGCTAGAGATTTATTTTACGCTTATTTGTAGAGATATAAATTTCCCAGTAATGCATCGAGAGTAGGTTACAACATGAGTAGCATCAATGTCTGTGAGAGCAGCAATTAGCATAAAAGAGATTTTTGCTGATTGTTTTGTTGTAACATTCATAGTACGCTTATTTGGATTGTTATAGAGATATAGTCTTTCTTTGTGAGTGGTTTGTGAAAATTTTTGAGAGAAGAATAACTTGTTAGGTTAATGCTAGACACATCAAACTTGTTGCTACAACATTGTTAATTTCATGTTGTTGTTTGACATTTCGTAATCTTTTGCTGGGATTGACCATTGCTTCATTTACTTGTGTTGTAATCCCTATTTATTCTATTATGTTTTCAATTACAATGCTACATCATTGCTCCCTACATCAACTATACATAATTTTATTATTGTTGCATGACAATTCTGTGAAGTAATACTAATACATATGGATACAATACTCACACATTATTTGTGTTCACTTTTCCTACTTGATAGACGATAGTGTATGCTTGCACTAATTGATGTTACATTTTTTGAAGCATCAAGTTTTTGGCGCCATTACCGGTGACTAGTGTCATTACTTTTAGAGTTGTTTTCTTTTGTTTACTAACTTTTCTTTTACATTTTGTAGGTAGCTTTAGCATAGTGTTGTTGGTGCATAACCTATCACAACAAATAAAACTTATAACCTTTTGATCCTGAATTGAGAGAACACTTCATCAAAAAAGACAACAACAAAGAAACATTGACAAAGATGATGAGAACAATGTTCTACCACTATTGTAAATTGGGGATGATGGTAATTCACCGAATAATAGTGTACATGAAGGATTAAATCCACCGAGGAGAGATGCTCCGATGCCACCAAATTTCTACAAAATTGATGAGCACAATAGGCCTATTCAATAACATGTGGTGCCTATTTTGAATGATTTGAATCTTGGCATCGTGAGACCTGCTATCCATGCTGTCAATTTTGAGCTGAAACCAGCAATGTTCCAAATGCTACAGTTTATGGGCCAATATAATGGTTCATTCTTTGAAACTATGAGAGCACATCTTCGATCATTTATGGAGGTGTGTGATTCATTCAAACATCAAGGTGTTCCTAAGGAAGCATTGAAGCTAAGTTGTTTCCCTACTTGCTGCGAGATAAAGCTAGAGCATGGCTAAACTCGCTACCACTAGGTGCTATAGCATCCTGGAATGAGTTAGAACAAAAATTCTTATTGTTTTTAATCTACCCAATATGAATGCAAATATGAGGAATGATCTCACCTCCTTCAAACAACTAGAAGACGAGAATTTACATAAAGCTTGGGAGCGATTTAAAGAGTTACTGTGAAAATGTCCAATGCATGAATTTTCTCATTGAACGCAAATGGAGATGTTTTATAACGGGTTGAATATTCAAACTCGTTTGATGGTTAATGCTTCTACTAACGGAGCACTTCTAGACAAGACATATAATAAGTCTTATGATATTCTAGAAAAAATATCTAAAAACGATTATCAATACCCCAACACGAGGAGCATGTTTGGCAGACGCAATGTTGCAGCAGTGGATGCTGATGACTTAAATTCAATGGCTTCACAAATCACAACATTGACAAATATGGTCAAGAAATTGCAGAAACCAGGGGGCATGTATGAGGTAAAAACTGCATCTCATCTATATTATGTTTATTATGGTGATGTGCTCAATTATGATGAATGCCTACAAAACCCCGAATATATCTATCATATAAGGAACTATAATAAGAATGATGATGCACATTCTTAATGGAACACATAAAATGAAACTTTTCAAAATTATCCTAATTTATCATGGAGGAGCTAAAATGTTTCAAATATATAAAAACAGTAGATGTTGCCACAGAATCAGCCAACCGTGCAGCCACATCATCAACTAGTTGCACAACCACAACAACATCATAATTATCAAGGGCATTATTCTAATCAAGCTTCAAACCTAATTTCTCTTGAAGCTTTGATGAAGAAGTATATTTCAAGTCAATTAACATCATTAAGAGCCTTAGAAAATCAGGTTGGACAATTGACACATGCTATGAGTAGCAACAAGGAATGTTTTCTAGTGACACTAAAAATCCAAAGCTACATGGAATAGCCCGTTACAATTGACATTGCAAGGCAATCAAAACAAGGAGTCGACTTCACATTGGAAAACCTATTGAAGGTCCAAAGAAAAAGGATGATGAGAGGTTGGAATACAAAACCAAAGGCAAGGATGTCGATAAAGCAACATCTACTATAAATGTTGTTGCAAAAGATACAAGACATAGTAGTAACTCTAGGACATTTCCATTATCCATGCCTACTGTATTACTGCTTATAATGCATGTGATGCCACAACCAGTGTTGAATTAGTCGAACCCAAGACCTCCACTACCATTCATTCAAATATTCCAGAAAAGATTCCAGAAAAGAAATGAGGACCAACAATTTAAGAAGTTTCTTGATTTACTGAAATAATTACACATTAACACACTGTTGCTGGAAACATTGGAACAAACACCGAACTACATTAAATTTATAAAGGAGGTGCTTTCTAAGAAACATATGATTTGTGATTTTGAAACTATTGCACTCACTGAAGGGTGTACATGAGAAAATTACCCCAAAAGTTAAAATACACATGGAGTTTTACTATTCCTTATTCTATTGACAATCAATACATAGGTAGCGCTTTAAGTGACTTAGGTTCTAACATTAATTGAATGCCTTTATCCATTTGTAGGAAACTTGGAATTGGCAAAGTACAACCCACAACAATTACACTTCAACTTGTTGACCGATCCATTGTCCATCTCGAAGGCAAGATTGACAATGTGCTAGTACGAGTGGACAAATTTATCTATCGAGTAGATTTCATTATCTTAGACTGTGAAGCTGACAAAAAGGTGCCCATAATAGTAGGAAACCCATTTCTTGCTTCCAGACGAACATTGATTGATGTTGAAAAGGGATTGCGTATCAATGTCCAACAAATTAAATTCAATATGTTCAACCCACTACAATGTGATGAAGAAGATGAATGCCATGTTGTTGACATTTTCGAAGCAATAATACAAGAACAATTAGATGAATATGGGAGCATTGAAGATATGTTAATATTACTGGAATAATAGAAGAATCTGATAAGTCAGACTATGAAAAGACTAGGTCAATCGAGGGAAACCAATTCTGCTACATTGATCATGACATCAACATTAGTTCTATATCGTTATTACTGCCCAAAGAGTCACAGCATGAGCACGTGAGGAAAACTACAAATGTTACCATGGTGCAGAAAAATACAACAACAACCAAGGCATCAAGGAATGTCTCACAAGGCATTGAAGATGAAATCTCATCTCTAAAAATTCATCCTGTGAAGCCACTACATTTTTATGGTGTCAATGAGTAAGTTTGCTTCATGATTGATTTCAACAAGCAAGAGTCCTACTTAAAAAATATTTGGATCTCATAAGAACAAAAGATCTAGAGCATCACAATTCTTTCACTACAACCATCGACAAGCATAAAGGCTATCATTTTGCTAAGACCCAGGAGAAGTTATCCCAAAACTTTTATTTCACTATGTGAAATCATTTTTTACTTGATTTCAATAAGTCATTTATGACATTAGATTATATATTTTTATTAGTTTTATTTAACAATTTTCTCTTGAGATTTTTTAGGTTAGGTTCCCACATCAGTCATTGCATCGTCAGTTAACACATGTTGCCTTTGCTTTACAACATCAACTGGAGTTATAAACAATCATTTCTACCCAATAACCTTTTAAATCCTAGACTGCTATTGTTGCACAGTACGTTCAACATTATTAGGGGAGTATTGTTGTCCCCTCTCCCATGTTTTATTTAATTTCCATTTTTTATTATTTTTGTTTGTAAGCATTGAGGGCAATGAACATCTCAGGTTTGGGGGTGTTGTTCATTTTTCATGTTCATGTTGCGTTTGTGTTACCACATTTAGGATTAGGATGTTACTTTAGTTGATAAAATTTTTAAAACTCTTTTTGATGAAGTTTGATGATGAGAAAATTATGTTGTGAAATGTTAAGGGAATGTGTTAGATTCTTATTGGAGTTGGGTTTTCATAAAAAAAATTACAAAATAGGTGTATGTTCTCAATACTTAGAGACATTAAAATAGTTGAACACTGCAAATCTCATAACATTAGTAGGTATTGTAGCTAACATTGGAAACAAAAGAATGCTAGAGGTGCTCGGAACTGGCTCTAGTGAAAAATAATTAAAAAAAGAAAAAAAAAAGGTAATTTTCCAATATGCTAAAGGTGCCTAACACTGGCTCTAGTAATGAAATGGAAACAAATGAATGCTAAAGGTGCACAACAATGTCTTTAGCATTAAAAAAGAAAATTCTAGAGGTGCCCGACATTGGCTCCAACAAAGGAATAAAGTCAAGAAGATGTTGTCAAAACATTGAAAGTTTCAATAAGTGAGTAGGATTAATTTTTTATAATTTAGCTAAATATTGATTGGATACACCTTGCTTGCACACAACATCACTCTATGGATTCTGATTTTGGTGAGATTAAAATGCATTCCTAATTTGAGATCAATTAATACTACCACATCTGTGGCAGCAATGAAAAATTCTGAGAATTGAAAAATTAGTTAAGAATATTAATTGACTTTGCAGCATTGTTGAACACTGTTTAGCATATTTGCACTCTTTGCATTGTAATTGCTTGAGGACAAGCAAACACTTAGGTTTGGAGGTGTGATGAATCTCCAAAAGAGTTATTATTTAGAACCTTTTTACTTAGGTTAAGCATGTACTTTAGCATGTTTAGGATCAAATTTAGAGTAGTTTTAGCATATTTTACATCATTTTCATATTGGGAGAGAATTGTTGGTACTTTGGCTAATTATGATGATTTTGTTGTGAATTTGTTACTCTGATGTTGTGACTCTGTCTGATGTTGTAGTCTTTGTTTTGAACTGATGCAAGATAGAATTATTGATCCATTGCTATAGCAATGGACACGTCACCATGTAGTTAGATAAATTTTAGAATCGATATGATGTTGCAGGAAAAGGGTTGGAATTTAAATTTATAGAAGAAAATTTTAGTAAAAAATGAACTTTCTTATTGGTGGAAAGTTTGGCCTTGATGGGCTATAAATATATTATTTTTCTACACACTTTATTCATCCTTGGAAAACTCTAATTTTCATAGTCACCTTTTATTTTTCTCTCCTAAAACCTCCATGGAAGCCTAAAAACCTTTGGGAAAACAACATTTGGACGTGAACCTTGTTGTAGCTATGAAAGCAGTAACTGACGATCGATTAGGCGTCATCTTAGTGATTTAAATCAAACTTGAAAAATGGGGTTTATTTTGTTTAAGATGATTTATTTTTTATTTTATGTTGAGATGTTAAACTCATATCTTTTATTTTAAATATATGTAAGGAATTTCGTGTTTATTCACTTTGCCTTAGTAACTTTGATTGGTTTTGCTTGAGACATATTTTTTGCTTGTTTGTAGAGATATAAATTACGTAGTAATGCAGCGAGAGTGGGTTACAACATGAGTAGCATCAGTTTCTGTAAGAGTAGCATTTAGCACAAAAGAGATTTTGCTGACTGTTTTGTTGTAGCATTCTTAGTACGTTTATTTATATATATTGTTATCGAGATATAGTCTTTCATTGTGAGTGGTTGGTTAAACTTTTTTGAGAGAATAATAACCTGCTAGGTTAATGCTAAACACATCAATCTTATTACTACAACATTGTTAATTACATGTTGTTTGACATTTCACAATCTTTTGCCTGAATCGACCATTGCTTCATTTACTTGTGTTGTAATCCATATTTATTCTATTATGTTTTCAATTGAATTGTTACAGCATTGCTCCCTACATAAACTATACACAATTTTATTATTGTTGCATGATAATTTTGTGAAGTAATATTAATCTATGTGGATACGATACTCGACGTATTAGTTGCATCCACCTTTACTGTTTGATAGACATAATGAATGCTTGCACTACTTGCTGTTACATTATTCGAAGCATCAAGTTTTTAGGTGAGCTAGATATGTCATTAGTTAACAAGACGGTATTGGTGTTGATCCCTAAAGTTGATGAACCAAAATACATTATACATATTAGACCTATAAGTCTTTGCACATTGGTATAAAAATTATTTCCAAGGTCCTAGTGAATCGTCTACCAATTATGGCCTCTTGTATTAGTGAAAATCAAGTGGTTTTATTTCCAATGAGGAAAATATACGATAATATATTGGTTGCTCATGAGCTGTTGCGTTACATGAATTCAACTAAAAATGGACCTAACAAAGGGTTT